ACGAATCATACAAAGTAATAAATTCTTCGTCTGAGATAATCTTACTGTCATAACATGTCACCAGGAGATCGCGGAGTTCTTTAAAACTTGCCATCTATCAACGATAAATTCGTTTTCCTCACTCTAATTTCATGCTGATTTGTATTATGTTTACCCCGTCGAACAGAAAGGTGTCAGCTAAAGTATTTTTGATTTTGGCGGGAACGCTGTCAACTATTCTTAGTCCTCCTGGGTCAATGGCGTTGCCGTCGCCCCCAAAACTGCGATGCTAAAGGTCCCTAATTTCAATCTCAAAAACACCCCTAATATATCCTCGTTGGGCGTGGCTTAAAATTCATTATTATATCTGATTATATGAAGCCCAGGCTCTCTCCTCCGCAGGGGCCTCTTTGCGTCGCAAGGAGGCTGAGGAAAAGAAAAAGAAAGCCCCGGGGGGCACGATGGGAAGGGGCAAGAGAGAAGAGAGGCCTTTTCCCTCTTACCATTGTCCTCCGCGCGCTTTCTATTTGTCGATTATTGCTATTTTTATTTGGATACCCAGCGGGATCCTCTGCGGAGGAGAGAGAAGCCCAGGTACCTTTTCGACTTCACTTATTTCAGTATCAACCATAGGGAATACTTCATATATACTGTAAATCTCATATAACGTCCATCGTCAGCCTTTGATATGGAAACAATTTTTGACCAAACCGTTGTGGGTCTTAGTGCGTCAAAATAACGAGTAACTTAATATCTCTCAAACACGGCCAGGGAGTGAAGGTCACTGAATGCCATCGGAGTCAGCTCGTCCGTGGATAACGATAAACTGACACAAATCACCATGGGAAAACCAGACAAAATTGTCCATGTAAAGAAATTTGACGAACTTGACACCAAGCTTGAGGAGATTGCCTGGGAGTAGGTACTGAGTGTTGTGTACCCTCCCAAAATATAGCGTCAAAGCTATTGCAAGCTGTATCTTTTGGAGAGTCAAAAACTGAAAATACATTTCGAGCAACTTTCAATTCTGCAATTTCTCTGAATTCCTCATGATACTTCCTTGTCTCTAGGTTCCCTCATTTTATGATCCCTTTTCAGACTCGTGTAAGTGACTTTGAAGATAATTTCATAGCTGCAATTTTGCTAGATGTAAGCATACTAAACGACAGTGAGAAGTTCACACGACTATTTTACTAGCTCCTTTGTAGGTTCCAAGGTAGCCTGTGGCATATATTCACGATCTCTCATAGCTAGATAGATTTTTAGCCTACAGCTGTATGTATAGAATTTTCCAGGTTCTGAGATTGAGGCCCTGTCAAGAGATGGCCCTGTTTAAGAAGAAAAAAAACCTTTCGGGGGTAGAATGGTTACCCTCTCAGCCGAGCCAACTTTAGCGATCGTTTATATGAGAAAAAAGTTGACGCCTTTTCCCAGCTCTTTGCTCGAACCAGCAGCGTGCGCACATGTTCTGACTGTCTCGGCTTGACTGGGTTGATCCGGCTGGGAGAGCCAAAAATGTTTAGAAAAGTTGGCCCCACTTGGAACGGCTAGAAGGATGACCCAGCTAGGCGGGTCACCCTTCTAGCCGATGCAAGTTTTTGTTTCTCATGTAAAAAGTTCACCACATTTTGTAAAGAAATTTATGAAAAGTTGGCTCGCCCAGGGAAGCTTGGGTAAGCGGGTGATCCTTAGCTTCTACAAGGGACAACTTTTCTCCCTATAAACTGGCCTAACAATAGAAATTCGTATTACATTCTGGACATGTTCAGTGTCTTTTCAAATCTTTTTGAGACGTTGTTTGTTGGTAATTGCATCCCCATAACACCAAGACACTACCTTTAAAGTTTTCTTGTATAATGACATGTTTATTTAAGAGAAGATGTGCCTTTATTTACCATACATTCATTCATACGCATGCATAACCTAGTACATTATTACAAGGCAGAAGATCAAGCAAGCTCTGATGAGCTTTTAGGCGATGTCCGCTTTATTCTAAATAAGATTTAAAGAATATCAGATGGTGGACTTCCTGTTTTAAGTAATGATATGAACTAAAACTATTTCAACTATTTCTTAATCACATACTCTTTGACTTTGTTCTTAAACATCTTATACAAACTTATGTCTCTTATATTTGAGGGAAAGTTGTTCCATATAATCGCTCCCTTGAAACCTATAGCATATTTGCCATAGTTTGTTCTCCTAAAATCAATGTGTATGTTTGGTGCTGATCGCGTATTGTAGGAATGTACACTTTTATGACTCCACTTTTATTAGTTTTAAAAAGGTTATCTAAGAATGCTGGTAGCTTGTCATGGTAATATGAATACTTAAAAACGGCTGTTCGATATGTATTTAATCAGAAGCATATAACCCCGGGCGCTTTCCATTAAGGAAAAAAACCCGGAAATTTCGGTGGTAGCAAAGTGGAATTTCCGATTGGTAAAAAGTTGTTCCATTTGGTCGTAAACCCCGGTACGTGGCGGTGCCCGACCGTGGACCTGGAACTGGTACAAACTACGAGAAACGTAAATGGAACACGACATTCCGTTCGGAAATTCCAACCGGGAAAACGGGCCCACCTTTTTAGATTTTCCACTTTTTCTGGGAATTTTCCAGTGGGACGAACCGACGAAACGTGTTCCATCTACCGCCGAACCGGAAATTCCGGAAATTTTGACTAAATGGAAAGCGCCCCCCGAAGCACTTATCAGTTTAGAACCTTGGTGGGGTTTTTTAACCGACGCAGCCGTCCAAACAGAAGCACGGAAAACTATTTTGCCCAAATATGAAATCAGAGAATTAAAGACTAAAACCTTTGAGCATTCAGCGCTTTTTATACATGTATGTCTACAACCGAAAGAAATCATTTCGTGGCATAAAAGATAACTGAGTAATTATGCTGCTATAAAAATTAAAGAATAGCACGATAGGCAATCGGCTTTTATTTTCAGAATTAGCAAACATTGAATTTACTTGTCCCAAAAATTCGAACTGGTGGCTCCTTCTACCTGATAGTAATTTATTTTTGAAATTCCAAAACAATTTCACAGCTAAATTTTGAGTGACTTTTAGTTAAGGACTTCTGCTCCAAAGATTTTTCTGAAATTACTCTGGAATATTTATTATATCAATAAAAGCCGATACAAGGAATTTCGGTAAAAAATATCAGCAAAACTTTTTACTAGACGCTATTTTCTTTGAACAGTAGGGTCCTTTTAAGCGCTAATTTCTCAAGCAATATTTACCATGGATGAAATCGAAATATTTCACATTATTACCGCATGACTTCTGTTATTCTTTGCATAGTTTCGCAGCCATCGCGTTAAAAACGGAAAAGTTATGACGGAAAATTTATCACAGCTAAATGCTCCAGTATTAATGACGGAGTCACCTTAAAATGCACCGCTAACATTGAAAGTTGACACACAAATAGAGGACAACTGACGACGGACTATCTCCTATCTGCAAGGGTATTCTTGCCCAAAGCTTCAGTTGCAAGAAATTGAGTAATCAGAAACCTACGGCGAATGCAGTTCGCAGTACAAAAAGAACAACTTTTATTATGCTGAATGCGGGGCAAGATTAAATAACTTTTATTTATCAAAGTTACTGTGTATTTCCCTTCTCTTTTCTAACATCTACAAAAATCTGTTACCAGTTTTTAGCACTGGCGGTTCCCGTCTTGAGGAGAAATAATGCCACCTACTCCAGTACTTCAACCGATCCATTTTCAGCTGCAACGAGAACCCCTGTATTAGGTAATTGATTCAAGTTTGAAAGATTTGTCATCACATTCGCAGGGGCATTTTGCCATTGGGGATACTGAAAAAATAAGACGATTATCATATTTTCTTCATCTTTATCCCCAAGTGGCAAACTTCCCTTGCGAATGTGATGTCACGTCTAAAAATCTTGAATAAATTACCAAGTACTAGGGCTTTCAGTGCAGCTGAAAAATGGACGGTTAGAAGTACTGGAGTTGGTGGCTTTATTTCTCCTTAAAACGGAAACGTGCGACGCTAAAAACTCTTGAGAGCTTTTCGTAGATAATATAATTTGCCTTGTTAAAGATAGGTTTCGAAAAGGGAGGGACAAATACAAAGTAAGTTTGGTAAATAGAAATTCTTTTATCTTGCCCCGCATTCAGCATAAAGTTGTTTTCTGATTACTCAGTTTCTTTCAACTGAAGCTTTGGGCACGAATACCGTTGCAGATAGGAGATGTAGGAGATAGTCCGCCGGCAGTTTCCCTCTATTCGTGCGTCAACTTTCACAAATGTGCTAGCGTTGCATTTTAAGGTTAAATTTGACCAACTATTTGTGCAGCGAGTTCTACGGTCACGATTGACTTCAAACTTGCAGATATAAAACTAGAGAGCTCTGAGGCTCATTTGCCGAAGTTAGAGGAAAATCTGTCTTACGGTTTCGAGATTATTGACATTTTTTGTAAAAATGCGGCTTTAAACATATGCCAATATCTCAAACGTTTTTATACCTTAAAGTTGGACTATTCTTTATTAAGGATGCCAAAAATCATGGAAATCGGTTAAATCATGTCTGCCGAAAAACGCGATTCAACGCGCATATAAATAGGTTCGGGCCACCTTAAAACGCACCAAGTAGAGAAACTAAAGAGAAAATACTTTTACTTTTAACAGAAAATATTCTCGTTTTTTAGCTGTGCATCTTTCCTTGATATAAACGCGATAAACTTGATCATTTTTACTATGGTTTTTGAATAAATTGATTGGGTAAAAAACGCTGTTTCGTTTTTTCCTCGATTTCTCGAAAACCGTCAATTTGTAAAAAAGCGAAATACTTATCTGGCAAATCATCAACATTTTCGATTTTTTTAGTTTGGTCAGTTATCCCCAATATTGACAGTTACGGGATCTTAAGTGCCTAGCTGCAGTTTTGATTTTTGGCACCTAAAGAAAGTCACCTATGTGTCTTGTTTGTCATCAAGCCCAGTGTTCGTCAAAGTTGATAATGTTGATGGTTGTTCGGTCGCAAAGGAGTTCAATAATGCGGTATTTGTAAATGATTAATTGGCATCTTTTCACTATTTCGAAGTCTTTGAACCAAGTACAGATATGATCCATTCTGGATATTGCAATCTCTCAGACTGCGTTCGTCTTCTAGTCTCATGCCACCAAACACTAGACGTTGCGAGTTTGGTGGGCATTGGTACAACTTGTGGATTACTGTCTTCACATTCCAGATACAATCGCCCGGGTTTACGGCTATCGTGATAATCTTTTCCTCCATCGTCCTAATGAAGATTTGCATGTGCTCTGATGGAACATTAACGTTGCTTTCTTGTACAGAATTTTCCTCTTCCAGTTGGGTATCTGCTGCAAAGCAAATTTGCTTGTCCAACAGGATCGGTTCTTCGTTCCAACCTACAATACAATACAATAACTTATTTAACCACGTTAGCGTCTAAGAGCACAAGTGCTCGTTCAAAATACGAACGTGCATTAAATCTACAATTACAATAATAATATCTAGTGTGAAAAAAATAAATATATAATCTATAATCTATGTACACACGAATATAAAAAATTATAAAAATTACAAAAAATATACAAAAATAGAAAAATTACAGCTTAATTGATACATACATACATATACATACATACACTTTATTGATGCTCCCTAAGTGGGCTTTTCAGCTCAGCAGAATAAAAACTACAAATTTATATAAATTAATTAAGAATGTAAGTACAATAATATTAGAATTACAAAAAATATATCAACTTAATAAAACATTTGCAAGATGACGCCTAAGATTCCTGGGGCATTTTAAGGACTTAATATTATCATTCAAGGAGTTCCAGAGTTTGGCTCCTCTGAAAGCAAAGGAGCGCTGCCCTGTTGACAGGCGACATAAAGGTATATTCAAAGCACCAGATGATCGAGTTTGTCTATTATGGACTTGAGAACGTGATTTAAACATATCAGCAAGATAGTCTGGAACAAGCTTGTTAATACATTTGTGCATCATAGTAGCGTCATTTAGAATGAGTTTCTCTCTAATAGGAAGCCATTTCAACGATCGCAACCCATCCGAAATATGGACATACTTTCTTAGTCCCAGAATAATTCGTCCAGCAAAGTTTTGGACTTTTTGTAACTTGTCAATATTGCTGCTGCTGGTATTACTCCAAACAGTTGAACAATATTGGAGTTTACTAAAGACAAATGAATTTATTACTAACAAAAGTGTTTTCCTATCCAGGAGATGCTTGATTCCGTTAATTTGGTACAATTTAAAAAGGCATTTCGAGGCAGTCTCAGTGATATGTTGGTTATAACTGAGGCGTGTGTCGAGAAGAACACCCAAGTCCTTAACGACAGGCACAGGTGTTAATTCCTTGTCAAAAAGTGTTATACTGAATGATGACAGTTTCTTTAAAAGTTGTGGTAATCCAACAGCTAGAACCTTAGTTTTGTCTGGATTAATCAAAAGAGAGTTTTTACAGCACCACTGAGATATTCTCGTAAGATCTTCGTTTAAGGCGAGGATGGACGTGGGTAATTCGGCAGGTGAAAAGGACAAATACAATTTACAGTCATCAACATAGGAGGCAGATAGACAACGTTTAGGAACAGAAAGGAGGTCGTTTACATAGATTGTAAACAAAACCGCACCTAAAATAGAGCCTTGCGGAACTCCGAACTCAAGTGGGAGTACTTTAGAAACTGCGTCACCAATTCGAACGCACTGTTGTCGGTTAGAAAGGTAACTCTGAAACCAATCCAACGCACCCTGGGAAAAATCGAGATATTGTAGCTTGGATAACAAGATGTCGTGTCGAATACTATCAAATGCTTGAGACATATCTAATAAGACCATGATGGAAACTTTCTTGATATTAGCTTAGACGTAAAAATATTAACATTATCGGCCAGCTTGATATCTTCTGGAAGTTAATTCCATAGTTGAGCGCACTTGTAAGTAAAAGAGTTCCTCATAAACTTAAGATTAAATTTGAGAACGCAAGATTAACACCATTTCCTCTTAAATTGTAAGACGTTTCTCTCATGTTAAAAAAGTCTTTAATGGCCCTATATTCCCAATGAATTTAAATAATAGGATCAGAGATTGCTGCTTTTTCCTACACTCTAAAGTGTCCACCTTACATATATTTAAGAGTTCTTGGTAAGGCATTGATTTCCCGTGCCCTGTCAGTGTACCTACTATATAATGATTGGCGTCTTCAATTTTATTGGCCTGGACTTTCCCCACCCCTAACAGGAGGGAACTACAGTATTCTAGAGGTGGTAAAATGTATAATGCTAGCATAACGTCCATAGGTACAAAACGCCTAATTCTCCTTAGTGCGCCAGGTCTTCGCATACGCCTCCCTTTTTTAGCTGACTAGAAATATGTTCTATAAAATTTAACATGCTATCAAGTTCCACGCCCAAGATTCTGCCCAGTCCGGTAGTTTCTATAAACGCGCGGCTTTTGTGTCTTACAGTCTGGAAGACTACGTGGGTCGACGTAGGTCGCATACTGTTGCAATTACCTTGTTTTCAGACACCAAAAAAGATGAGATGAGACACATTCCAATTTAAAGGAACATTTTAAAACGTCCCCGATATTTTTTGTTGGTTACGAACCTTGCTCCGGAGTTTTTTCTCCGTGTGGTACTCCCATTTTTACTTCTCCTTAAAGGAGCTATTTCACACTATTTGCTTTCTCTATAAAAACTAAGGTTAAACTTTATTCCAATTTAAAGTTGGAAATTGAATTGAATTCCAAAAATAATGGTTCAGTTTTGTTATTTAAGACTATATTTACGCATTGAAACTGCTCCCTGTCGTCGGATGGAAAAATGAACACGGTTTGAAACTTGAAATAGTTGGGCCAAAAACTTTTTCAAGCTCTAGTGCTATACCTACAAAAATCACCCCCCAAATTATAATGGCTTGTTCTCGCTGATGAAATCTGTTTGGTATCTTCCTCTTATCTCTAACGGAGCTTTTTATGTGTGGGTTAAGTAACTATAACCTGATACATGACTTAAGCACAGAATTGACCTAAAACAGCTTCCAGATTCCTACTCGGTTGTCTAGAAACCAAGAGTTTTAATAGCCTCAACAACGCGGGTAAAACAGTTTGTTTTATGCAAAATTACAACGTAATAACCTAAGAGCAGAGCCAGCTACAACTTGTAATATAGGCACAACTACGAGTTAAAAAACGGCTGGTCATCAGCAAGTCAAATATTTTAACTTACCTTCATATTGTCCGTGGGATGACCTCGCAAACGTTACAAAATCCTTGCTGTCAAGAACAACTGCCGCGGACCCCGATTTATACACTAGACGGAGGCTTAAAACTGCATCTTCCTTTGAAGTAACGTGACTTCGCATCCAAAGAGGACACTGAGTCACTTTCGACTTGCTCAAATCAACCGCGTTCTCTCTTAGTTCCTTTTGCAGGACGTCTAGTAGTTCTAAGAGCTTCTCCTTTCGAGAAGTGCAGAAGACAACACAAATATTTCCCGACTCTCTGTCTTCCAGCTTTGTCGCTGTGATTTCATGGAAATGGCTGATATGGCAGTTTAAAAGAGCTTTTTCGCAGTGAGACGTTACCATGATCGTTGACTGAAAAGTTCCTTTTGTACAAATTTCTCCTTCGTTGTATACACGTGCTGTTGCATGGAGCTGAAGCTCATCTTCTGCGTCTCGTTTGATGCGAAAGACCTGAGAGTACGTGTTTTCCAGTTTGTCGTATTTAACCGTCTCAAGGGCACGTGAGTAGGGAAGATCAGTAGAACCATTTAGTTCAAATCTCACCTCTTTTGAAGGGTCAATCTTTGCGAAATGAATGAGACTCGACAAAACGTTAGAAAAATCGTGCACAAAAAATTGGTCAAGGCGATCACGATCGTCAATGGTCTCTCTCAAGCAACGAGAAAACAGTTCTAGCCTCTTATGCAATCTAACATCTTGACTACAGTGTTGAAAATACGGCTTTAGATAATTCAGCATAGGTAAAACTGCCAAACTTTCGCCCCATTTTTTAATTTCTACGTTGGGCTCCTTGTCGTAGTTTTCCAGGCATAGTAGCTCGAGGATTCTGGAACAATTACTCAAAAGCCTGAAAAAATCGTCGTTTCTTTCGGCACTTTGAATACTAGTAACAAACACATCTAGCTTTTCCCTTGGCAGTCCTCTTAGGCCATTCAGGGGAACTTCTGTCATCCTATGGTCAACAAAGATTTCTTTTATGTTCTGAACGAGGTAAGGAACAATACTCAGAAAATTTGTTATCGCAGATTCTTCAAATAACGAACAAACCTCTTGGTATTTTTCCTTAATTTCCAGAGGCAATGGACAATGATTCTCGATGGATTGGATGAGATACTGTGCATGATTTGTGGAGGAGGCTGCTCCTTCAACGTTATATGCAGATACTTCCAATTCAATGCAACAGTCCCTAAGCACAGTTTTACAAAGATTTTGAATTTTACGAATGAAGTACTTCTGTAAATCAGCATTCGGGAATTTTAAACCCAAGATCTTGTTTGCAACCTTTCTTAAGTGTTTGACATGCATTTGTCCTCTTCTTGTTACTCTGTAATCTAAAAAAAAGCAAAAAAATTAAAATGAAGATGATTATAGTCAATGGAGAATACCGTGTAAAATGAGACACATTGCTAGGAAGCTATAGTCGTGGTTGCAGTCATCAGTCTTATACTAGAAAGTTTACTTTTAAGGTGGAGGAGACTATTATCAGCAAATAAACCCCCTGATTTTTCTAGAAATGAAGCAATCTGCCGTGATCTACCTTTGCCTTATACTCATAAGACCGGTAAAATTGTGTCGGGCACATCATTAACCAATGAATTTATTATAATTTATAACATAACAAAAATAAGGCGCGCGCTCTGATTGGTCAGTTAGGCATCTACCATTTGCCCGTTGGTGCACGCCAAGAAACTGAACTAGCGCTGTAAGATTGAGGAAAATTCAGGAAATCCCCTCTTCTGTGCGGTTTAAAATGCACCGATGTAATATACAAATAAGAAGTGGAAGTTAAAGAAAATACTCAGTTGTCGTTTTGAAGAAAAGTCAAAAGATGACAAGCGACGAAATTAAATTTGCCCTGGATAAATTTATCACTGTTTTCTTCGCGGTTAGGAGCCCAGAAGAAAAACCAAGTAAGCAAAGTTATTTAGTCGAGCTTGCTTTAGCAGAGCTAGACTCTAAAAATGCAGGCGTTTCTTTTTTTATTTTTCTTTGTCCTGTGGGCACCAATTAGGAGGCCATGCTCCCAGGCGTTCCTAGCGGAGACCGTGAAAACTGGGGATAAGAATCGTGACGACTTTCATTGTATACAAATGAGACTAGTGATGAGCATGCGGCTTATTTTCCGCGATGACTGAAATGACGCATGTAAAATGATGACGTTTTTTGCTGTTTGGCAATAATGTAATTTTCCCCGATTTGGCGCCCTTGATTTTCGTGTAATTATGCACGTGTATTAAAAAGTAAAAATATTATAGCGGGGAAAATCCTGTTTTGTGGTGTATTGAGGCGTTACGTTTCTCAGACTATTGTTGCACTTATTGGATCTCTACCGAACGGTTAAATAGATTAACTTTGTTGTATGTGTTTAATTGATAGATTTTCGCAGTTGTTAAGATGTGAATTTCAAGCGCGCTCAGATTCGAGACAGCTTTGGACAAAAACCTTGTACCAGAATAATTTAAAGCATATTGCTTTCAAATTTACATTTTTGAAGGGCTAAAGATGTTATTAGTCAGAAAATGAATGTCAAATTTCACAAAATTACATCTTTCACTTGAAATTTTTTAGAAATTTACTTGTGTTTTCACAATTCTTGTGAAATTTGACATTCATTTTCTCGGACTCCCATGAGAAATTTTCTTTGGTGTTATTACAGATTACTCATTACATCTGTAGCCCTTGAATGCAATATTTACAAGGTTTTAGTCCATTGAGAATTAAAATTACTCAATTTCCTGGTGGATTCCGTCTTAATTTCTTTTTAAAATTAGTGTTACCTTGTTACGAACACTCAAACTCCGTACGCAAACCTTATCTTTATTCCACAAAAGATTCCACGTTCCGAATAGATCCAGATCCAAATAAATCAACAGCCTGCACTGCTGTCAAATCCAATTTACAATGAAGTCAGGGCTCATCCTCGGTGTAAGAACCCACAACTGACGTCATAAACTATCGCAACAATAATGGCTCTCTCCTGCTAAAGTACCCGTCACATAGGTCATTTGGGTCATATGGGTCAGATGGGTTATATGGGTCAGATGGGTTATATGGGTCATTTGGGACAGATGGGTCATTTGGGTCAGATGGGTCAGATGGGTCATTTGGGTCATATGGGTCATTTGGGTCAGATGGGTCAGATGGTTCATGTGGGTCAGATGGGTCATGTGGGTCAGATGGGTCAGATGGGTCAGTTGGGTCAGATGGGTCAGATGGGTCAGATGGGTCATATGGGTCATTTGGGTCATATGGGTCATATGGGTCATATGGGTCATTTGGGACAGATGGGTCATTTGGGACAGATGGGTCATTTGGGATGGGTCAGATGGGTCATTTTGGAAGATGGGTCAGATGGGTCATATGGGTCATGGGTCATATGGGTCATATGGGATGGGTCAGATGGGTCATTTGGGTCAGATGGGTCATATGGGTCAGATGGGTCAGATGGGTCAGATGGGTCATTTGGGTCAGATGGGTCATATGGGTCATTTGGGTCATATGGGTCATTTGGGTCAGATGGGTCATGTGGGTCATGTGGGTCAGATGGGTCAGATGGGTCATTTGGGTCAGATGGGTCAGATGGGTCATTTCATATGGGTCATTTCCCCAGATGGGTCATATGGGTCTTTCATATGGGTCTTCAGATGGGTCTTCAGATGGGTCATTTCGGTCAGATAGGCGACGCCTGGAAAACAAACTTCATGGTCTTCCTTCTTAGCAAGCGACGCCTGAAAACAAACTCAGTTCTCCGCTGCGAATGTAATGAGGTTGATTTAACAAAAACTGCCAAACTAAGATTCTTTGAATTTGTAATATCCCCCTTTGCATTAATGCATTGTCTCTTTCAAGAGATTATGTCCCGCCCAAACAAGCAAAAAACATTTTAGTTTACTTAAGAAAACGGTTCTTCGAAACCCTTCTGCTCATTTAACAGTAAATGAACTATCACTACTCCGACACCCGCTTCGGCATTTGTCATCCCCTGTCTCTCTCATCGGTCTGTTGAGCCAGCATTGACAAATGTTGAGTGGTTGAAACACTTCTGAGACGAGGCTTCATATTTCCCTAGTTGGATGATATGGCGTCAAGAAATTATTGGAGACCACTTACGTTGTTATTTATTTGTGAATTTGTATATTTAGAATGTTTTCGTATTGCTATCCGTTGTAACGCAGTACCGCTTAACAAACCAACGACAGAATTTATTACGTATTCATATATACCGGGTGGGCCGTACCGAGCGCTTCCTTGAGGAGAGTACTAAATAACAAATCTCAGCAAGTTGCCTGATGCATTTCTCGTTCCTGATGTATTTCTGTGGGATCCACTGATTTACTTTCCGGAACTGGTTTTGTTCTGCCCTGCCTGTACCGAAGAAGGCTTTACAGAGATCCTTCACCCAATTCGTTGGAAAGATGATGGTCGGAATGACGATCAACAAGACGCTACGGAGCGTACACTTCTGCGTCGTGGTTGTGGAACTGATTAATTGTAAATGCGGAGGAATAGTAAGAAATGAAATATGGTAAGAGTAAGGTGTTAATTTCTGAGATTATGGGATTTGTCAGGATATTCTGAAAAGAGCAATATCCAAGAGGCCTACTTGCCAAAAACAAGCATTTCGGGACAAACTGTCTCTGAGATATTAGCCCAGTTATGCTCTGATGACTCCATACAAATCCTTCTATATTTGACTTGGGTCTAAACGTTTAGACCTAAGTCAAATATGAGGTTACTGGCGGTGAATAACAAGTCTAAAAAACAAATAGTGAAAAAAGAATTCTCTATTTTTCTTAGTCACATCAGGCTTCAAAACAGCATAGCAGTCTCATGTACTGATTAAAGATATGTAAGGCATGGGTAAGGAGTCAATTACGTTGAGCATGGAATTGGCTGTTACGAGTTCGAATGTTTTGAGGATAATTATTCACTGACTATCGGCACGCAGGAATGTCGGATTAACACAAGGAAGTTTAATACCAAAGGAACATAGCCTTTTCAGAGCTTTAAAACTCAGCATCCGCCAACACAAACTTAACTTGAACTTAAGTGCAACTAAAAAGCCTCTACCGATAATAACAAACTCTCACTTGAACTTCAGATATCTTACGGCTTCCGCCAACTTGTAAACACAGAACTTGAAAATCGGCCTTCGACACACTTGACTAAACACAGCAGTCCAGCTCGTGGGAAAAAAACTTAGTTCGTCAAAAGACCTCGCTTGGAACTTGTATACCGTTTGACATAAGGTTCTAGAAAATACTAAACGGGCGAATAGTAGTAACTTTTCGACATATTTTATGATTTCAGCAACTGATGCAAATCTGCTGACTCATGCTGAAATGTGAACATGCCCTAATTAATTTTTCATGAATAATCCAAAAAAGTAGAGAACGTTCGAGAAAGTCACGCAACGCATGAAAGCAATTTTACTACGTAACACTCAACAACGACAAAATGTATTTGTGCAGCATTTTGTAACTTTAAATTCATCATAAGGCAGTGCGAAAGGAGGGCTCACTCGTGAAATGTTTTTCAACACTCGAAGAGAAATTTTGTGTCTCTGCGCGGCCACGTAATATCCTCTATTCATTCCTCGAGTAAATTAAAGACTAAACTCGAAGTGATCTCAAGATATCACAAAGCAGCCCGGTTTCATTCCGTGAAATAGCCGAAACAAGCCGAAAAGTCGCGAACTTGCACGCCCAATCTTCTCCCGAAACTAGTGCATAATTTCATAGCTATTTTTCATATGCCGAACCACCTTGGGTCGCAGTAGCGCAATCGGCTAATCCCTCAACTTAGAGTCTCCTCTGACCTGACGGGTCACACAGGTGAGTCGGTTCAAACCCCGGGAAAGCCAAAATAATAATTCCTTCTTCCTCGAAAAAGTTGAAGAATAAATCAAAGAAATCGAAGTGATCTCGAGATATCTCGAACTAATTCGGCTCTCACTTCGTCAAATAGCCGAATAAAACCGAAAACCTACAGACTTTGCATTTCCAATCCTGTCAAAAAATGGCAACTTTGATACATTCCTGAGCGTCGCGAATCCTTTACTTCGCGCTCCGCCGAAGTAAAAAGACGTTCAGGTGTCATGGAAACAGAGCCTGTATGACGAATATGGGTCACGCAAACTTTCTTAAGGAAAAAAAAAGAAGATAGACACGAGTTTCCCCCTTTCGCTGCAAGGCAGAGGAGTGAGTGAGAAAATTGCCGCTGCGTGTTTTATTCACGAGTACTTTTTAAAGGAAAGTTTACACGAGCAAAGGATGAATGAAATGACAGCAAGTACCTTGAGCTCATCAGATGACACCTTCAAGGTGGAAAGTGGATAAAATTTTATGATAGTCTGTTCATCGTGATGAATGAAAGAGGAGTGGTAATGTCTTGGAAGCTATGTAAGGGTACAAGTTTCACTTAAGTTGAGCCTGCTTTAAAAAATCTTCGCAAGCAACTTTATGCCAAGGGAAATTGTATAAATAACTTTTTCATTGACAATTGCTGTCAGTGGAGAACCAGATTGCAATACAGCGGGTGACAAGTAAAATTCCAAAGAAAGGGGCAAAGGGTTCCCCATTATGGAAACTGAGGGCACGGCTTAAAGGGGATTTCAAGCTCGTGCTGAGGGATCGGACAGATTGCGGCAGAAAAAGAACAAAAGAAACGGCATCAAAAGAAGTTATTGAGAAAAACATTCAAAAGTCAAAAGGAAAGTCATGTCTTATCTTCAGGACAATGAAGTTTATGAGACATTATTGAAGGCACAAGTACGACTAAATTGGTTTGAATAGCTGTATTCTACACTTATGTCCATGTTGTAAATTGTTCTGTTAAGTATTGTTTTTTAGTAACTGTTGACATTCAAATCTAAAATTAGTTTCACCCTGTTGAGAACAAGTCCCAATAATGGTTACCGGGTTCTGTGTTTGCGAGCTGGATGGCTTTGCAAGAATACTTTGATACATTCATTACACGTTGAAAGCATGATACTGAATCAGTGAAGAGAAAGATTTCTGCATTATCGTATGTACTCTGAAGAAAGATGAATCTTTTCATTGGATTAGTGTTTTCTACAAGTTTTAGTGGCAATTATATAGCATAGTTCCTAAGTGTAGCACTGTAAAAAAAGCACACTTAAAGTACATAGCAACTTCTGGTGTTCAAAACTTACACAAGTAATAAGATCCTGTTTCATGTAGTTGCTCAAATATAGGAGATTTATTTGATTACAAATAGTTTTGTAATCTTAGTCTCTGATTTGTAAGTTTTGCTTTAAATTGTGTTACAATAAATAATATTATATTTAAATTTACAGCCAAAAACGTTGGCAAAGAAAATGTAAATGTTCCTTTTACATGAAGTGATGTTCATTCTGTTTTCAATAATACCTTTATCCTGTTGCCTAAAAAGTCATTGCTTTTTTTTATTTCATTATAAGTTCAATATTTCTGTATGCCCCCTTAAGGTACAGAAGAAAAAAAAACAGAACATGGTGTTAGACATCTGGTACACTCCATGAAGCCAAAAAAATTGATCTCATTCAGTTGTAGAATGAAAACATGGTCCTCTATGATAATTTCTGTAGGCTACCACTCAAACTAGTTTTTTTTATTCAATCAGCATGTATTTGAAATCCTTATTTTAAAAAGAAACTGGATATCTATCTGCTATTTCATAATACATTGTATATTTGTTATTCTGGTGGGGTCTGGGAGGGGTTGACAAAGCGAATATGATTTTTTTTATTGATTTTGTGAGTGGAATCAGAGAAGACGTCATCCTGGTTAAATGCCACAAAATGAAGGACCTTGCCCTATGAGGTGGTTGAATAACCTATTAAGAATAATTATTTTTATTTTAAGTCTCCTAAATTGGTTTGACCAAAACGCCAATATGAACACGAGATTCACGTTAATGGCAACCTCGTTCCCAGGTTCTCTCTCCTAACCTTCGCTCAGTGGGGACGGGTAGGCGAGAACCCTTGGCAAGAGGTAAGTGGAATCACTCAAACCGGTCCAGTCTTAAAAAGTTGGCACGTTTTCTCCACATAATGAAATTTTCGATAAGAAAAAACAAGATTACAATAAAAGGAACGCAAAATTTCACGAACGTGAAAGTAAAGCAAAAACCAGTCAGGGTATTTCAGCTGGATGACGAAACTGGAAAGCATGTCAATTGTTACTCTTATTTTCGTCAACAGACTCTCCTCTCCCTGTCACCAGGAGGAACATGAGTCTGTTTTCATGCCTCGCCGGCTAAGAAGGACGGTCAAGAGCAAAACAGGGGATCTGGGGAGGAGAATGTTACTCTCCCAGGTCTTCCGTGTACGAACGGCCTGTCTGACCCAAATGACCCATATGACCCATATGACCCAAATGACCCATATGACCCATATGACCCAAATGACCCATATGACCCATATGACCCATATGACCCAAATGACCCATATGACCCAAATGACCCATATGACCCATATGACCCATATGACCCAAATGACCCATATGACCCATATGACCCAAATGACCCATATGACCCAAATGACCCAAATGACCCATATGACCCATATGACCCAAATGACCCATATGACCCATATGACCCATATGACCCATATGACCCATATGACCCATATGACCCATATGACCCATATGACCCAAATGACCCAAATGACCCATATGACCCATATGACCCAAATGACCCATATGACCCAAATGACCCATATGACCCATATGACCCAAATGACCCAAATGACCCATATGACCCATATGACCCATGTGAGAGCAAGCAGGAGAGAGCTATTATTGTTGCGATAGTTTATGACGTCTGTGTGGGTTCTTACACCGAGGATGAGCCGAAGTCAGAGTAGTTCCAAACTAATTCAAATCCAATCCCGTAAATCCTACGCACGAGTTCGGTTTTCTAAAACCAAAACATAAATCCGCTATGAATTCAGTGTTCGAAAGTTCGAAGTCAATGTCTGAAATACAAGAGGAAAACTTACCGACTGTTTTGAGTTCCATAAGCAAAGGCTTCTATGACAAAACTCACAAAGTATCAGATTTTGAAGCACGTGGTTTCATGGTAGCTACGGAATGCGTGCGCAGCAATAATAGGTATGTACCTATTATTGCAAAGGGAATATAGTCATTTTTTCTCATTTCTACTTTACGTTTCTTGCAAAAATTGTCACAGTTGTTTCTTTAGTTTACAGTGTTTAAAGTTACAGCTATAATTTTCCCTCAAAGTATTTACCGACCAAATAGACAGTGCCATTCAGAATAAATAACAACAAAAAACGTGTTGCAATTTACCTACGACGGAGAACGGTTGATTAGGCGAAAGAAAAACTGAAAGGCATGATTTGTTTACGCGCGGGCAGATGACAGCATACATCAACTTGTCTATAGTACCGATGACTGACCCAACCGAAGGAAAATGGAAATGTTTTCTCTTTTGATTATGTTATGCCGCACGTTTACCATTTCTTAAATGGAAATCTAATAGGAGAGCTAATAGGAAGGTTCGTGGAAGTGACTAATTCAAGGGTACAAGGGTGGCACAAAGTACAGTCGAAACATAAACCAGCAACAGTCTCTTATTTTCTTCCAGTGCTGGCAAGTTACTTAATTTTATCTGTCCTGCCCTCAGTGGCATAATTGTCCACCGCAGATTTCCTCTCAGCACTCCCCAGTTGCGTTTATAAACAGCGAATACACCATGGCCAACCGAAGCCGAGCAGAGTAACTTGACCGATCCTTTATGTCTCTAACAAGTAGCAGGTACATTCAGTGTATTTTAAACAGGTGGCCTCAGCAAGCTGCAGAATAAAACAAAGGGAAACTTCGGGATTACTAACCTTCTTGCTTTAAGCTCTCGAGGTCTTTCCTGAGAGTGGCAAGATCTTCCGCTACGTTTTCGTCGTTCTTCTCTGACCAGTATCGTAAAACGATTTGAAGTTGTTCGTCCTCATCCTTGTCCGGTTTTGTTAGGTGATTCAAGGATTCCTTAGGTATCTCGACTATCTTGCCAATCGGAATAACGTTAAAAATGTCTCCCCTTACACCTAGCAGGCTCCTTACATAGCCACACAGTTCTACAAAGGAGATGTAGTGTCAGTTATTGATAAGAGCATGATACATTCAATTTACGCTCGACGTTTACTAATTTGGGGCTCTTAATGTCATCAGGAGTCATAATCGGGGTAGAAGATCGTAACTGGATACCTTTTCCAGCAATGGGGTTGGTCCCATCGATATAGTCAAATGTGCTATTTGACACGTGCGAGCATTTTTTGCAAGGGCGCCGCGCAAAGAATACACAAACGGTAGAGTAATCGGTTTTTGCACGCGAGGCTTTCAAATCCATGTAATAATTGTGCGCCTCAAATGACGATCTTAACGGATTTTGGATATTTGCATTTATCCCTGAAATAAAGGGATATTTCACCGAGAGAACTATACAGTGATTTTAGTTACACCCTAACCTATGTAACATTAAAATATGAAAGAAATCGAAGTCTCCACCCTTGCCGCGAAATTTTGAATTTGTCTGATTTTTACAGTCGGGCACTCTTAAACGCAATATCGAACAAAAACAAAACTTAAATTTAATTTGCTTTGTTAGTTTTAAGAACCAGAATTGAGAAATGTACTGATTGTTAACAGCGTTTTAAGACCCGTAGAACGACAATAATTTTTGGAATTTCCGGTTAGGTCAAATTAGTCACGTTATCATGTCGTACTATATTTTGGGAAACAGAGGGATTGGGGGAGGGGTGCGTGAAAATAACGCTAATCGTTTCCTCCTTAGAATGGCTAACTTGCTTATTTTTATTCATAATTGTGGAATTTGAAAAGTTACTATCCATCCCCGACTTAAAATGCTACTCATTTTTCCTGTTACGAAAGTCTTCCAAAAGGGTACAATGTTCAAATGGGTCTGTTGCACCCTCACATGAGATTCTATTTCACTCAATGGTCGGCGACAAGGTGGCCTGAGTGTGTAAAGCCAACCCTTCCCCTCAAAAACATCGCCCATTGGCAGCCCAGCGAAACTCGCCTTCCGGAGATTACTAGCTAGTTACATTTATGGGTGATACAGTCGGAAATTACCTTCGTGGGCCATGAATAAATTTCCTTTTTGCCATCATTGTCCCTTCCCAATTTTAGGCAAACCTTCGAGGACTGTGAATGTAATTCCGGTTATTGTAAACTCTGTAGTGAGAGTGCTTTTGATAAATCTAATGGCTATTGGAACGGCACCCGTACACCGACTTTTATTTGCGACTCATACGGGATTCTGACTATATCGATTAGGGTTAAGCGCTGACCATACTGATTAGGGTTAAGTGCTGACGGTTAGCTTCTTTTTAGAGTTAAGGATGTTGCTATACACTTTGAAATCAAAGTGATGTTTAGCATCGAATGCTCAGTGATATAGTGATTCATGAAAATTTGTTGAGCAGAAATTTCAAGAGACTTCCTAGAAATTTCAAGAAGAGACTTGGGGCGCTTCCCATTGGTCAGAACTGACCGGCCATACAATTCTCACCGTAATGAAATGAGAATGTCACTCTTACTCAAAACTATCCAGCCAGATCAGTCAAATCCTAAATAGTGTGCACGAAGGAGATGGCTTTTCAGTAAAATCTCTTGGAAAAAGCTGATTGCTTTGTCAAAATGACTGGTCTGGCCATGGTCCGGCCGGCCAGTTCTGATTTCGTATGAATAGCAAATGCAAGTCGGGGTACTG